TCGATCAATGCATGGTTCAAATTGATCATTTGTTGTCGGTAGCGATCAGTATTGACGGTTTCACCAGGTTTTAGGAGCTCGTGGAACACCACACCTTTCTGGTCCCACCAAACACACAGCATTATCTTCTTGCCAAATTGATCTGGTTTTGCAGTCGATGTTGATGGTTGTCCCGGATTAACCCATAATTTTTTCCGTTTAGGATTCTTAAAATAAATACATTTTTCATCGCCAGTAACAATCCGATGCAAAACCAATTTTCTTTCGTGTCTTCGAAGCAAAATTTCACAAGTGTTTTTTCGGTTTTCCATCTGTCTTTCATTCAATTCATGTGGCTCCCATTTTCCACACTTTTGGATCTTTCCCATAGCTTCTAAACGGTCAGAAATTGTTTGTTGTGCAACATTTAACATTTCTGCCATTTGCTTTTGACTCAAAGTGTCATCTCCATCCAATAACGTTTGCAATTCGGCGTCTTCAAACTTTTTTGGTGGCCTTCCACGTTCTTCATTTCTCACATCAAAATCATTATTTCTGAACCGTTGAAACCATCTTTTGCATGTTGCTTCTGATAGAGCATGATCACCATATGCCTCGACAAGCATTCGATGCCACTCTGCAGCACTTTTCTTCAAATGAAAACAAAAAATTAATGCTTTCCGCAAATCATCACTTTCCGGTACAAAATTCGACATTTTTAACACGATGAAAAAATATGATGTTGTCTGTTCAATGACTTGATGTATACTAAATATGTTTCACAGATGTCATAGCAAACAAACAAAAAAAAATAAAGGCTCGTTCACAACAAATGTTCCCTATCGAGACATTTGTATCTTGCCGCTCACTTCATACCGGTATACCTGGAATATTTAAATGAAACTAAAAAAATTATTTATTAAACCTTGGAGTAATATCTTGTTGACCTTTCACCCAGGGCCGCCTAGAGAAGCGGGGAAGTCATTGTCTTGACTTCTTTTTGGTTCAAGACTCTCCTTTGTGTCAATGTATGCCTTCTTCAGCAATCAGAAACTGTTACTTTACAGAAACTGACTCTAATTGATGATCTTGACCAAATGGTTTTGTAAAGAACAAGACAAGGAAAATGAAAACACATCGCAAAGAGTCGATGAACACAGCCCACTTCCACGAATTAAAGGGTTTTAACGTAAACGTATTTAATGCTGCTCTGGACATGCTGCTCCAGCAGATTAGATACAGAATAGATACAGCTCAAAAGACGATGGATATGTTTTGGTTTGACAAAAATCTTAGTCGGAAAGAAAAATGCAAAATCCTGGCAAATTCCTACGTAAATTATGTAAAAGAATAGGAGTTGATTGCAGAAGTCCGTTATCTAGATGTTCTGAAGCGATCAAATACTTTTGGACAAATAGAATCTGTTTCTTCTATTAAGTTGTTCAACAGAATCTACCAGAAAGGTCTTCAGTCAATATTTCCATCGATCTGAATTTTGTTTCGCATTTTTAATATGATCCCGGTTTCAGTGGCTGAAAGAAAGTACTCTTTCAAGAAGCTTGCTCTCATCAAATCCAAATTACGATCAACAATGAGTGAAAAACGCTTTACTAATCGTATGGGGCCATCCCCATAAAGTACGTACGCAGCTATGGGGGAGAGGAGGGGGTTCCTAAAAGCGTACGAACGCGTACAAGGAGGGTTGGGAGGGGTTGTTAAAGATAGTGAGTACGTAGGCGGTTTGACTATATCTTATAAACTTGATTTTATTTTTTTTTTAAACATTGATTTTCACGTGTGGAACAAATCAGAGTTGATTTTTTTTCTCTGACTTCAGTCACAATTTTTTAAATAATCTCTCTTTATAAACAATGAGGATAGAAAAAAAAATCGAGTTTATTTAAAAATTAAAATAATGCGTACGTACGTGGAGGGGAGGGGGCCTGCGAAAGCGTACAGGTTTGTACAAGGGGGAAGGGGAATCCTAAATTAGTGGTTTTACTGCGTACGTACTTTATGAATGCCCCCTTTGATGATTTTAATTGAAAACGACTTTGCCAAGACTTTATTGTAAGAAAGTGTCATCTCTAGTTTTGTAAAGTAGAATGCCCGCAAAGGGAAATTAGTGTGATCTGACTAGTCTTCATAATTAACATTTTATTGATGAAATATATAATTCCATTCATTTTAAACAGCATTTGTATTTTCCTTTTTTCATATATAACCAAGTTAAAATATAGAGTTTTTATGTGCAGCGAAAGTTAATAGAAAAATAATTAATGTTTTCATTAAATTGTAATGTGATAGTAGACATTCGGACAATGAACAGTTAAATTCATGCTTAATTCGATATACCCAGGAATCCAAAATTTGGGGCACCGAACAAAAACTGACCTGGATACCAAAGTCTCTGTGCGGACCTGTAAATATATATATATATATATATATATATATATATATATATATATATATATATATATATATATATATATATATATATATATACATATATATATATATATATATATATATATATATATATATATATATATATATATATATATATATATATATATAATCATCATAAAAATAATAATTTTTTTAATGATGATTATACTGTAAAATAACAATTATTGTTATTTTACAGTATAACTGTACTTTAATTAACGTATGACCAAGGCAGGTAAAAGACCTGATTAAAGAATGTTTTATCGGGTCTTCTGTCTGCTCTCAGGTTAGAAGATAAAAGTTTTATCATCTGTCCGTGTTGGTATACTTTGAAATTCTATACAGGCTTAGAATAGCCACAGGTATGTGGAACCTGATAGGCTGACTTTAAAAAAGAGCGCATTTTTTTTGAAAAATAAAATAAAAATTAAATCAACCAGGTTTTTGAAATAAATATTAAAGTAATAAGTGTTACTATCAATAGAAGTTTTTTTTATTTTAGTACTCTTCAGACTTTTTAAAAGTAATCGACTTTAACATGAGAGTATTTCAAAATTTCATTAAAGTTTATCTTAATGATGTTAATTTTTAAAAAATGGAAGAAAATAGTGTATGTGTTAAGGTAAATGTGAAAAAATCTATAAATGTGGTTCTACTAAAATTTAATGTTACTTATGTCAGGTTAAGAATAACACTTTTCAAGTGTAATTCCAAAGTTTCTTAAGCAAGTTTATTTATTTTTAGACTTAATTAGTTTAAACTCGTTGCTTCAAGTTTATACTACTTGTTGGTTATAAAAAGTTTTTTGCAAAACGAAATTTTTACAGATTTAGCATACGTCTTCTATGTTAATCGACAAACTTTGAAGAGGTTTTGATTTTTAAAGAAAATTTTGAAAAATCTTATAAAGGAGTAGAGGAGAGAGGGGCACGTTGATACACTTTTTACATTTTCTGACATTAAAAGCTAAATATTATATTTAGAGTGGAAATGATAACTTGTATATGTTCCTTTAAGTATCCTGCATATTTTAGTACCACAATTTTATTGATTAGAACACATTTAAAAATTTGTGTATCAACCTGCCCCATGCTGGGGCAAGTTGATACACACCATGGGGCAAGTTGATACATTTAATAAGACTTTAAAATGAAGCTTTAAAAAACTAATTAAGTAATCAAACACAAAAGATTAGGTAAACAGGTAAACAAACACAAAAGATTAAGTAAACAAATACAAAAGACAAAAAACATATATTTTATTAGGCCTATTTACCTTTTTACTATCTCTGCGAGAAAAAAAAACAGTCTACACCAAGCAATTTAATTGCATTAGCGCAAATACATAAACAAAAATATTTTCGGCTATATTCAAATGCTTTACCAAAGGGGTAAGATGATACAGTGTATCAATTTGCCCCAAGTGGTCTGTATCAACGTGCCCCTTTAGTAAAATACTAGAGGATTTTAGCATTTCAAGTTTTCAAGATATATCTTAATCTTTTAAAACTTACATAATGATCAACTAAAAAAACAGTTTCATTAATTTCAACCTTATTGGTAATTTCAAAAATGAATTTCCAAATTTATATTATTATTACTAACCGTGGAGCATGGATTCTTAGAGAGCACCTAAAGTCAAAGAGACAATCTATACATTTAAAACCTTAGTGGGCTCTCAAATTAATTCGAAAAAAAATTATTTCATTTTATTTTCGAAAATGGAGTTTCATAAAAGATTCTTTTTTTATCTCTAACTTCTAATTCTATCTATTTGCTTGAAAGAATTCCCGCTGTCAAAGCAGCCCAAAATAATAATCTTTAACAACAATACTTAAAATTTGAAAAACTAAAAACTCTAGCCAAGCAGTTTCCGGAATATATTTAAGTCTATAAAAAAAAAAAATCAAATCCAAAACTTTTAACTATAAACAATAACAAGAATAAAGATCCATCATCGCAGAATTTGCTACTATTTATGAAAAAAGATTGAGCACTGAAAGAATAACTGATCATACTAATCATCGAATTCAGCTTGTAAAAATCTTGACGAGATTATAATTGCCGATGAAAATATTGAAACAGCTTCATTTCTAAAATCAAATAAATGCAATGATTGTTTCAATATCTCTACAGAACATTTAAAAGATGCCCAATATGACGCACTAACGCAATGGATAAAAGAAAATACTTTTTTTTTTAAATTAATCATGAATTTACCCCTACATCAATGTAAACGTCTCTTAACCAAAAATTTAAATATTTGGTATATGTTTTTTATTGTAATCTTTATTATTTCATTTTAATGTTAGTTGTGTTTAAAGAATATGCTAGTAGAGTTTAACCAAAATAATCAAAAAGTAATTCTGAATTTTCTAACTGACAAATTTCATAAGGATAAAAAATCACCTGTCATGTTTATAGTAAGTCATAGGTTAGTGACATCTTGTCACTAAATACATTATGAATTTTTGAACAAGAAACTGACTCCTATTATAAACAATATTTTTTTCATTTTTTCTATAAAATTAAGACAAAAACTTAAAAAACTGTTAAGCGTAATTTAAAAAAAACTTTAAAACAAATATATACTTTATTATCTAATATTATCAAATAAACTCCGATGCTTCTAAAAATTTTATCTATAAAGAGGTTTCTGTATGCGGAAGGGATGTGTTGGGCGGAATATCCTTTAAAATTGCTATTTGTTCTTTTAAAGCACGGACCTAAATCAGACATTTAAAAGTATTAGTGCCAAAACTAAGGAAAAAATTACATAAAATCAGATCTATAATAGGTATAGGTAAAACAAATAGAAAAAACTTACTTGTTGCTGGTATTTTTCAGCCATCTGCATTAACTGTTGTTCGAATTTCTTTAATCTGCTAGCGTGTCTTTTTTTAGCTTTTTCATATGCCGTCACTAAAGCGCCATTGGCGCGTTTTAAATCAGAAATATACTCTGCTGTTTGTTTATGTCTTATTTCAGAGTTTTTAGTAAGTTTTTCTAGCGTTTCTACAAGTTCATTAATTCTAGATTTTAAATGTTTCTCGCTTCTTGAATTTTCATCAAGCGGAAGATCTTCAGAAGAAGGATACCTGGACCCTCCGTCGTTAGAATAATTAGTATTATGAGTGGACATAGAAAGATCAGCCTCATCCTTAAGTTAATTATTTAAAATATTATATAAACAAATTAAATATTAAAAAAAATTAAACAAGAACAAATTAAATTTCAATAAACAGATTATCAATTGTTATTAATACACTTTTTAAACCTACCGGTTCTTTTATTCTTCTCTCTTTCATCAGTAATTTTCTTTTTTTAATTTGCTCTTTTAATTCAAATTTTAAATGTTCAATATGGACAATATATGCTTGTTCTTGAGCTTCCCTCGAGTTTAGTTTAAGCTCCTGGGCTCGTTTTTCTTTATCAAGTAAATATATTCTGTGCTTTAATTCAGCACGTTCCTCTTTTAGTGCCTGCATTTCTTGCAAAATCACTGCAGTTTCGAGATCTATATTTAGTTCATGAACTCTTTCTGAATAAGGTTCTGTGGAATTTCCCTGTATTCTATCGCGGTAATCATGGACAGACTCTAACTCAATTACAGTACCTTTGTACGTATCACGTTCTGACTTTAACATTTGAATATATTCTCGCAATCTATGCTCTTCACCTTTAGATAAAGTGTCAGCGTGATTAGAATTCTGAGAGCTACCAGTACTGGTTCTACTTTGATAGCTCATCTCATCATTTTTTGTTTCTTCGTCTATTGGCTCTGTAATCATATTTTCATACTTTTTATCAAGTTTATGTAATAATAATTTCGCCTGCATCTCAGCCCCCCTTCGCTTAAAATGGGAATTTTTAAGAAGATCATCATCCTCAACATAACCAAGATGATGCTGAGAAGATGCAACAGATGATTCAATAGAAACATTTGATTGAGAAGATCTTGTTGATGTGAGTGATTTAATTGTGTCAAAATTTCCAACTCCTGCTACTTGACAGTTTGCTGCATATATATCTGCCTCACTGTCTTGAAGTTGAAGCATGACTTCATAGGTCTCTAAAAGCTGTTCAGTGTTCTGCAATGCAAGAGACCAGGCTGTACTATTTGATTCATACTTACCACATAGTAAACTTAATCTCTCAGAGTTTTGTTTGCTTTCATCAAGGTTTAAAAGCAAAAGATCATTTTGAGACTGCATATGTAACAATCGGCTTTCTAACCGCTCCATTTCAATGTTTGCTAATAATTAAAAAGTACTATAAAATAATGGATATAAAATTTTAAAATTAAATATAAGACGAAAACTTTAGCTGTTATTATTTTTTTTATTTTAAATATAAAACATAAAACAAAAAACCTTCTTTAGTTCGTTCATCAATTTCCGAAAGAAAATGATTAACAAGAGCTTTGAGTATTTGATCAAATCGTGTGTATGTAAGTAAAGAATGCAACAATGTGTCTGGGACTCTTCCACGTAATATTCTGCTCTATTACAAAAGTATACATTTTTATTGACTTATCCTAATATAAGAAACAAAGAAAATAAAAGGTGTATAAATGACCTTTTTAATAATTGAAAAAAATTAGTTACCAAAATTTGCTTTGAGTCACTTCGTTGTGACTCATCTCCTATTGATGAACCCAAGTCACTGGAGTCCATCATGTGTTGACCTCGTCTAAGGCTATTATCTGGACTTAATTGGTAACCTTTCTCACTTAATCCTTGAATATTAGTACTCTGTCTGGAAGATTGGATGTTTGAAATATCCGAACCTCTACGTTGAACAGCTGGAGATTTGATAATTGACTGACGGTTGTCAAAACTGTTACATCGTTTTTGCCCCTTACCAGTTATATCCCCAGCAGAGCTTGTTGATCGCTGCAAAGATTGTGAAGAATAGTTCCAGTCAAGGTGAGTTGATTGAGAGCGAGAATGGCCATATGATCCATGATCTGGAGCAGATTCTCTCATTTTTCCATCAAGTGACTCTTGCAAAGCACGATTCTAGTTCAAATAATAATTTAAATATATTAGATTAATATAATTTACATATTTACAATCATACTTTTTACCACCATCCCATACATATATATATATATCCCATACATATATACATATATATATACATCCCATACATATATACACACATATACATTAGGGTGTGTCGATTTTTATGATAAAGTGCACTTTTTTTAATTTAGAAAAAAGAGTAGTGAAAATTTAAAAATTCATAACTTTTTAAAAGGAGTGATATTTTTGAAAATTAAATAATTTTAGTGCTAGCTTGGTAACTTTTCATTTTATTTTTACTTATTTTGGTTTTGCTAAAATAAGTACCAAAAATGCGTAACTATTCATTTCTTTTCATTTTACTTCATATTCGGACCAAAAGGAAAGCTCCGGTAAACATATTTAGTTTATTAGAGATGTCGAATAGAACAAGGAATGCATTATTTATTAAAATGAGCAATCTTGTAGGGAATGGAAAAGAACTTTATGTATCTGAGCTTCCAACAGCCAGAGATATTTTACGATATGGTATACTTTTAAGAGAAATCAGTGAAAAAAATTTGAGGAACTATACTGTAGATCAGCTAGTAACTGATATGGTACCCACTGTTCTTGGTCAATGGTTAAAGGCAAATGCCCTTTTTGTATATCCAGTTGTAATCCATGAAAAAACAATTTTTAAAAAACTCAAGTATTTATGGAAATCTGCTGTTGATTTTAGTAATGGACGTGGAAAAAAAGCTGAAAAAGAGAGATTTTCTCTAAAACTAGACAAGCTTGTGGACATTTTACTGTGTAAATGTAAATTAATTCTTTGTTCAGAGTACAAATGCAGTTCAGGATGTATGGAAAAAATTCATATAAAATGCAAATGTAAGAGAGAAGAGAAATTACCAATTGTAGAGCTTCAATTTATTTATTCTCAGAGAACTAAAATAGGAAGCTTTGGAACTTTTCATATTGGTAGTGCAGATAGAAAAGAATCCAAAAAAATTGAAAAAAAACAACAACAAAAAATAGCAATGATAAAGAAAAAAAAGGTAGCTATTTAATAATACTCACTTGTACGACAATATAATATATACAAACATTTATCATTTTGAAAAAAAAAATTTATTATAATATATAACTTTTTTTTTTAAGGCAGATAAAACAAATGATAAACTTGAACAATTTGATTGTCTAAACGAAAATGAATATGTATCTCCTTTTCAGACACATATGGGGGAAGTAAGTTTAAAACTATTAGTTGCTACCAAAGTATTTATTTCATTTTCAGTATTTTTCTTCATATTCTGTATTCAAGTGGGTTTTTATTACAATTATAAGATTGAATTAAAATTCTATATTGTATTTTTGTGACAAATATGAAATTGAGCAGATGTGGAGTTAAATAACTTATTGATTATTTTGAGAATGACACAAAAACAGTTGCATAAATTTTAGTATAGATTGTGATTAAAAATAAAAATAAAATATTTGTATTTTTTAGGATTATGTACGTCACAAAACTGTTATGCAAGAAAAAGTTTACGCAAATAGCTCCTCTATGACATTTCAAGATAATAGTGAGCAGAACATAATCAAAGTAGATACTCAAACTAAATGTAAATCACCCCTTAATCAAATTTTTTCTATGTATAATACTATGAAAATCAAAAATATTGCACTGGCTAGCATGAGACATCAAACAAGTTTAAGAGAAGCAGCTGAAATAGCCACTGCTACCTTGATAGATGCAAAACTTATAAGCGAGAGTGATTTACATCTTATTATAGATCATAACAAAATCAAAAGGGCTCAAGAAAAATTAGCGAAAGAATTAAACAACCAGTTTGAGATAGACCTAGAAAATAACCCGGTTACTTGCCTTTTTTTTGATGGAAGATTAGATGCTACAAAAATGTTTATAGAGGCAAATGAAGGAAATTTTCCTAGCCTTATTAAAGAGGAACATTACTCTGTTGTAAAAGACCCAGGGGGTGACTATCTTTTCCATTTTGTTCCAGATGTGACAGCTAATAAAAAAAAAAGCAGAAGTTATTGCAGATTACTTGGTTGACTGGTTAAAAACTAAAAATCAAATTCAAAATCTCATGGCTATTGGAGGAGATAACACATATGTTAATACTGGTTGGGCAGGTGGTGTCATGCAATGGCTAGAGAAAAAATTAAATAGAAGATTAGTTTGGATTGTTTGTGATTTACACACTGGTGAGTTAGGGTTAAGACATTTAATTGAAAATTTAGATGGTAAAACACTTTCTTATAATAAATGGTCTGGACCACTTGGGAAAATGCTTGACACAGCAACTGAAATTGAAATTAATTTAAACTTTACTAAAATAAATTTAGGTCCTCCTTTAATATATCTCAGTCCGGAGATTATTAAGAATTTAAGCACTGATCAAAGTTATGCCTATCAAATTTGCCAAGCAATAAAGACTGGAGTTCTACCTAACAGGTTAGCAATGCTGGAAATTGGACCAGTCTGCCACAGTAGATGGCTAACAACAGCCCTTTGATTTTGCAGAAGTTGGCTTACTGGTGAAAATCTAGAAAATTTACAAATAATTGTAAATAATTTATTGTTAGTTTATTTTTCAAATTTACAAATAATTGTAAATTTTATTGTTAGTGTTTACATACCCAATTGGTTTAACATTAAAGTGAAATCAAATTGGATAGAGGGTCCCAGACATATTTTATATTAACTAGAGCTACTTAGAACTCAAAGTAAAAATGTTTTAGATATTGTTATGCCAACAATTAGGCGATCAGCGTGGTATGCATATTCTGAAGCAATTTTACAAGCCATGCTTTGCAGCAAAAATACAGAAGAAAGAAAAGAAGCTATAACTAGGATTCTTAAGATTCGAGGAGAAGGAGATGAGGTAACTCAAGTTGGAGATAGTAGTATCAGAGTAAGAAAAACACCTAAAATAAATCCTCAATCTGATCAGCTAGCTAACCTCATAACATGGAACTTGAATGTAACTGAGCCACCACTTACCTGCAATCTTACCTCTGCCACAATCAAAGAGCTTTTAAACTACCCTATGGAAGTTCCTCCTTGGACTTCTCATACACAGTCTGTTGAAAGATGCGTCAAATTGGTAACTGAAGCTGCAGGCCATGTTTACACACACGAGAGAAAAGAATCTTATATACATGCTCAGCTTGCAAGTAGACATTTAATGTCAAGAAATAGAAGCAAAAAGGATATAACAACCCTTGTACAAATGCAAGTGGAGTAGCTAAAGTCGTTAAAAAATGATGTGTTCATTAAAAACTTGTATACTTAATACTTTTAATAGTTTGCATTGTTGACAGAAGGAAGTTTTTTTTATAAGTAACCGATACATACAAAAATGAGGAAGGCTTCAGGAATTCTACTGCGTACATACTTTATAGATGCCACCTCATTATATAATCTTTTTCGCGGGCATATTACAATAACAATAAAGAAAATTGGGTTGACAAGACTACCTAAACCCTAAATGAAAGGGATGGGGGCTAGCAATTTTAGGGATCTTTTTTTTTCTTTTTTGAAGTAATGCTCGAGTGTGAAAGATTTTTTAGAACTTGAAGTCCTTACGACCGATTTGGGGGAGGGGGGCTCCAACCCTCTAGCCACGGCATTACCTTGTAAAAATGCCTATTAGATGACACCAGCGCTTAATAAACATAAATATATATTTTTAAATATTCAATATTTAATTACTAACGTTTATCGAGAACATCATACATCATGATAACAGATACAAAAACAATTATCAGTGCAATTTCATTAAAAAAAAAAAGATAAACGTTAAAAACGACCAAAAGTGCCAAAATTCATATAAAAACTTACCAAGCTTGCACTTAAAATTTTTTTTTTTTTAATTTTTCCTGTATTTAAATAACCATGAAGTTACTTTTTTTCACTACTCTTTTTTGATATTTGAAAAAAAAAATAATCGACAAAGCCAAACATACTTATATACATACATACATACATACATACATACATACATACATACATACATACATACATACATACATATATACATACATACATACATACATATATGCATATATGTGTGTATATTTATATCTTAGCATATATAGATATGCATTTGCTGACTTACTTTACAAACCTAAATCAAGTTTTATGCAAAAAAAAATAATAAAAAAAACTCATCGCTGCCTCAACCCAAACCCTCAGATAATGTAGCAGCAACTCCTTTGCATGTTTACATTATATCAGTCCATGCAGCCCTCACAGTCCTTTAAATCAGTTTCTTGTCATATTATTGATCTAAGTGTGCTTAAACAATTGTGTGTGTATATGCATATATATATAGGCCTGAACCAGAAACGAGAGCTTTAGCTCTTGCCCACACTCCCTTCAAGTAATCTAGACAAGCAATTTACAGCTCTCGCAGAACTATATATTGTTTTATAAACATATACCACTTTTTTTTTTTTTCTCTATTAATGAAATTAAAAATTCTTGTGCAAACTACACTGTAAACTGCTTTTTTTTTTATTTTGCTCAAGCTCATGTATATAATGTGAAATTATTATGCACCAAGTTATTGTGTAATAATTTTTATATTATGTAATGAATTATATATTTTATATATTAATTATAATTATTAAATAAACTTAGATTAATTTGTCTCAATTTGAGTAAAATAAAAAAAACATAATGCACAATTAAATGTACAAATGTAAAAATTGTAATTATATAAACACTTTTATTGTTGAAACTAGTTTTTACTGCTTATAAAAAATATTTTTTATAAGCAGTAAGAACTTGTATAGCTTTTTGTTTATTAAATTTTCTATTGAATGAATAAAGTTGTTAATGAATTAGCGGATAGATAATGTGAAAACACAAAGAAAACACTTGCATAAAGAATTTGTTATTGGCACAATAAACGAAGCTTGTTATGTATATATTCTTGTAACATTAATGTTACAAGCATTTGCTTATAACAAGTAAAAAAGAAAAAAATTTAATGAATAAATAGATAGCTCATGCAAAAAATCAAAAGCTCTCTCTCTCTTTATATATATATATATATATATATATATATATATATATATATATATATATATATATATATATATATATATATATATATATATATATATATATATATATATATATATATATATATATATATATATATATACATATATATATATACATACATATATATACATATATATACATATATATACATATATAGACATATATATATACATATATAGACATATATATACATATATAATTTATGACATATATATACATATATAATGTATATACATATATAACATATATAGACATATATATACATATACAATGTATAGACATATATATACATATATAATGTATATACATATATAATATATATATACATATATGCATATATGTATGTATATATATACATATATGTATATATATACACACATATATATATATACAAACATATATATAGGTATATATATGTGTGTGTGTACATATATATGTATATATATATGTTTATGTATATATATACAAATAGTATTGCGTACTAGGCAAGCAATCTGACATCATACTGAAATAGCCTGCTGCTGGGGGCTTCAGTTACAGTTTTTCTTATTGTTGCATGATAAAAAAGGTATCATTGCAAAATGTTATTCTAACCATGAATTTATTTGCATAATCGGAATTAAATTAGCGAGAAAATAGAGCTGACATGTTCAAATTATTGTTGGTTAGATTTTATACTTTATAAAATATATATTTTAAGAAAGTAACAAAATAACTTTGCAATTTTCATGTAACGTAAGTTAACAAAAACATGATAAAGTTTTGTTTTTTCTAAAATTTAGTTTAAAAACTTTTTTTATGAAGTTTTTTAATATATATATATATATATATATATATATATATATATATATATATATATATATATATATATATATATATATATATATATATATATATATATACAAAAGAATATTAAATGTTACATTTTTGCATTTAAAGTTTTGAATAACGATGCCTAGCTAAAGCACATTTTTATTTTAAATTTGTGTAACGTAAGTTAAAACTACATTTACTAAAGTTGGCGCTTTTTTGTTAACAAAATGAATTATGTCATTAAGTAATTTTTATTTCATTGACAAGGTTCTAACTGAAACTTTTTATATTAGGAGAATTTTAAAAAAATCTTTTATTTTTTTTTAATCTTAATTAAATATTCATATTATTGCTTTTTTATTTGTTTAGTTGACATTTTTTATTATTCTAGTTGACATAAATAAATATAAACAAAAAAAAATATTTGTATTTAGAAATTAAAAAAGAGATTTATTTGTTATTCTTGTAATATAAAAAAAATCAGTTAAAATCTTTTTTATTTTTGCTTTAGTAAATCAAACGTTTGTAAATGCAATAAAGGGGGGTCATCCATAAAGCACGTCACCCTATATTTGACAATTCTTAAACCCTTCCCTCCTGTCACAAACAATCACATATACCTGAACCCCTCTACCTCCTAAATTGTGATAGCAGTTTTTTTGTCAAAAATATTTTAAAAGATTTAAATATAAATATTTTGCAACATTTTAAAATTTCAACCTAATGAAAATAAGGCAATACGCATAAAGGTAAAGAGTGTAAGTAAAAACTTCAACAAACCAAAGTTTTTTTTATTTAAACAACTCAAATAAGTATTAATAAAGTTTTACTAAAATAATTTTTTAAAGTTGCTCTTGGTCTTGGGTAAAAACTGTTTTCGGTTTAATAACTTTAATAAATGTTATAAAAAATCACTCAGAAAGAGAGCCAACATTTTTTTAAATTTCTTTTGTTAATTTATTTTAATGAATGAGTTCAATACTTTTGCATTTGTTTTGTTACGTAACTCTAACTCTTAATAATAGATATAAAAAATCCACGATAAATATCGCTTGGTAACATAAGTTAAATATATAGTATCAAAAAACAAGTTTATTTTCCTAAGCCAGTCACCTCTGATAAAATTTTATATATTTTTTAAATTGGCATAGATTTCTTAACATCTTGTGAAAGCTTCTAATACAAAACGCTTTACTGATTTGCAGAAATCTGACCTAAAAGTTTAAGCAGTTTTTTTACCTTGTTTTCGGTGTAATGAAAGTTAAGGGGCATTATTAGTAATAAGTTCGCCCTCTTTTGGCCAGATTTAAAACTTTTTAGCTTATTTTATTCTTTAGACTAACAGCTTTCATACAAAATAGCTAAAAGTTTAAATTACAGTTTAAATAGGCAAATATTTGATAAAGTTGTTGCATGTGTAACATAAGTTAAAAATGGAATTGCCCATATATATGTATATATATATGGGCAATTCCATTTATATATATATTCATATATATATATATATTCATATATATATATATATTCATATATATATATATATATATATATATATATATATATATATATATATATATATATATATATATATATATATATATATATATGAATATATATATATGAATATATATATATATATGAATATATATATAAATATATATATATAAAAATATATAAATATATATAAATATATATATACATATATATATATATATATATATATATATATATATATATATATATATATATATATATATATATATATATATATATATATATATATATATATATATATATATATATATATATATAATATGGCACTTTTTAATATTAATCAACCTTTTTCTTTAACATTTCCCTTTCCTCTCGTAATGTTGTACTTAATGATTTAAATTCTTCTAACTCCTGTTCTGCTTTTCTTAATTTTGATCGAACATAATTGTTTTCTTGTCTCAGTTTTGCAAACTCCTAAAATTGAAAACAAATTACTTGCATAAAAGATTACTTTCATGGAGAATAATCTCAGATATATAAAAATAAGGAAAGTAGCTGACCTTAAATTATATAAATTTCTAAAAAACAGCCAAATACATCTATAAGTTCTACTTAAAAAGTGATTGGGGTGCTGGCCTTGGCTAAAAATGAGATTATTTGCAAACCTGGCCCCTTTGCCTTGGTAAAATTATAATATTTAGCAGGGGTTGATAGCCGGGGCTAAAAAAAAATTTATGATACTTTATATACTGTAATTTTATACCTACATTTACAATTTATCAAATTTGGAATATATTTATATGTTTTTAAACAGTAATTTATTTCCAACAAGGTTGCATACAACCACTATTAAGTTATGAGTTACTTTAAAATAGAGGTGAGTGTTAAAAAGCTAGGGAACAGTTAACTGAAGATTTCAAAAGTTGTAGGTTGTATAAAAAAGGTAAACATGAAGATGAGTAAGAATTATAAAGTTTTTTTTATGTACAAGGAAAAAAAAACGAAAAATAAAAGTTTTTATAGCATGAAGGGACATATGCAGTAAAAGGATGTAACATGTTGAATAAGAGTCCAAGCAAAAATAAGTTTTGGTTTATCATAATATAGATAATAGCTTGTTTGAACATTGCAAATTCTTAGGCTGTTACAAAATGTTGCCATAGTAACCTTAGGCTGTTACAAAAGAGGGATCAGATTAAAAATCAGCTGCTTGTTTTAAGCAATCAAATAGTAAAGAATTTTTGTTAAGACAAGAGTGTAAGGTGAGTCATAAGCACTTTAGATGTAAATTAATCATGAAGATTATTATTGTAGATAAGAAATAACACAAGAACAAAGATAGAACCTTGTGGTACCCTTAAAGTTACTTGAAATGAAGAAGAGTGTAGGCCTTTAATAATTAATTTTAATACTGTAGTTAGAAAGTAATGATTTAATAATCTCAAAAACTTTTAATAAAGAAACTAATACCAGAGACTAATTGTAGGATAGTTAGAGAGGTCAAAATGTTTTTTTAGAGTTTTTAAAAATTGGAGCCACTTTATTTAGCACTTTTTAACAGTTTAGCAAGAAATTGAAAAGAGTTCTGGAGAACACTTTTTCAAGGTTATGATGGAAATTTTGTCTGAAGCACAAACTGTAGAAGTGTTTAATTGAGAATTAACTTTAACATTGGAACCCAGAGTGATTTGGATGTTTAACAACGGTTTAATCTTTTTAACTGGTATAAAAGGAGAATATGGCCATTAGAGTTAAGTTAGAGGAAAACTTCTTTCCAAATAACTCTGTCCTATTCTAGGGAGAAGTAAAAAGACTCATGACAAAGATAAAACATTAGACTTATTTTAGTTAATGACACTGTTGAAGACCAAAAATCTCTAGAACATAACATCTACAATAAGATACAAGTTTTAGTAAACTGAGAATAACAGAGCTTAAAATCAGACAGGACATTTTTAGATTGGCTTCTTGGAATAATAAAAGCAGATTTATTCTTAGTGAGATGTTCTTGTAAAAAAATGATTACTGTTTAATAAAGCAACTGCTCAAGATGGTGAAAAATGTCAAGTAGAATGAGGCTTCACATAAAATTGAAGAGAAGAAATAAAAGCTTCAAAGATATGCTTTATGCATACATAATATGGATATAAACATATGTTTGCTTTTTATTTAGATACTGGCATACAATATCGATACATATTTATATAAACTTTAGAATTTATATGGTGTAGTATTATATACATATACATATACGGCATACAATACAATATCGATACATATTTATATAAATTTTAGAATTTATATGGTGTAGTATTTGTCAAAAGAGAAGATGATCAGATGGATGTGCGGTGAGACTCTAACAAGACAAAAAAAAGAGGCATATCCTTAGACAGGGTAGAAAAAAAAGGTGGAATGAACACAGTTTGTTGGAGAAGAATAAAGTGATTCAAGTATCAGTATGTAGAGAGGTAGCAGCTTCAGGAGAAAATGGTTGTGGTAGAAGTACGACAACTTGAAAAGAGTGCCTAACATATTGTATGAATGAGCTTTAGTTAAGGTAAGAAAATCCTCTAGTTTATTTTAAAGAAACTGCATAAAAGAGGAAGAGTAAAGCCTGATGATGATGATGATGATGATGATGATGATGATGATGATGATGATGATGATAATGTTGTTGATGATGATGATGATGATGATGATGATGATGATGATGATGATGATGATGATGATGATGATGATGATAATGATGATGATAATGTTGATGATGGTAATGATGATTATGATGATCATATTGATCGTAATGATGTTTATATATGCATATATATACAAAATCTAACATGAATTTTGAATTAATAAATATACTTTAGGATCTATAAATGTTTATGTAATCCTGATCACAAACCCGGCCCCAGCTATAATTTATCAAACATGGTTCCAGCCCTTGCCCTGGTCAAATTTTAACAATGGTCACTTACTAGTTCTATTGTCACCAATTCTGTTTTAGTAATGGAAAAAACTGATGTTCCTTAGCATCCATTGTTAAAATCACTGATCTAGTTCAGCTGGGCCAGCTAAGTAGTGATTTATACAATGGGTTCACTGGAGGTAAGTCTAGGACCAACCCTTAGAGATACCTTATTGTAAATTCCTAATCCCATATCAATGGTGCTGCTAAAATACATTTGTAAAAGCAGTAGTTTAGAATTAAATTTATTTATTGATATACACTGTTTCATTATATTATTTATTAACATCAAATAGTAGTGATATCAAGTTTTTTTCTAACTAGATCCCTTATATGTAAGAAATTGTAATATAAGAAGAAAATGTAATGTAAGAACTATTTGATGCTTTTTGATTAAGACTAAAATAAACATCTTAAACATCTTAAATGGACACATATTAATAAATTAAATTTTTTGGAACAAAACTAATATTTGTGCCAATAGTCAATAACTTGATATAAATTGGTCAAAAATAGCAAAACTGAAACTTTAAATGGGTGGTAATTCCAACTATTTCCCATTAAAAAAATATTAAAAATAATAAAACACTAAAGGGTATTATATTTTATGTTGAACAAAATTGAAATGATTTCTTACATCTTCTACATGAGTTGTATTTCCTTTCTGATAAACATATCCTTGAACATTAATGTCATGAACTTGCTTTTCTACTAAAATTTTGTAAATTCAGAAAAAAATTAGAATTGAATTTTAAAAATATTTTTTGGATTAAAAATAAAAAAATGAGTACTTTAATCATGTATAATTGAAAATTATTTTTACTTCATCTTCATTATTTTTATTTTTACTTCATCTTCATTATTTTTATTTTTACTTCATCTTCATTATTTTTATTAACAATATTTACATTAAAACTAATATTAATAAAAATAATAATCAGCAATAAAGCTGCATTTGTACCAAATCGTTATACAGTCACAGTAACAACTGAAAAAGCCACCCAACAGAAAAATATCAATTTGATTTAAAAGAGAAAAAGATAAAAAGAAAAGAAAGAGAAAAAGACATAGTTTAAAATATTTCTTATTAATTAGTTTTTGTTTATTTATATTATATTTAAACAACTTTTAAAATGTTAAGTTATAAAACTGCATGGACATTGGTACAATTTTAAAAGTTTATTTTGCTCAATTAAAAAATAATGAACAACACGAATATTTAATGCGACTAACTGCTCAAAATCATTGAATTAATTATTAAATAAATAAACAATAACAACAAAATAATAATTATTATTATTACTAATAATAACAGTATTAATTATTATTACAATAACAACAAACACTAGTAGGAAAAACAGTAAAGCTTACACAATCGTTTGTCTCTTTTCAAAGACTCTATTTGTTTCAATAACATATCAATCTGTTCTTGAAATCGTTTGGATTCAACTATCTGTAGGATAAGATCATTAATAAATCATTTTCGAAAAAAAATAATTTATCCAATTACTAACTAATCTGTTTATTTATTTAATAAAAATAATAAAGGTTAACAAGTTCAAGAAGGTAAAAGTTAAAAATGACAAATGTTAATAAGTTAAAGAAAATTTAAAAAAATGATTATTAGTTGTATTGTTTATTTGCTCATGTTATGTTTAAATTAGTTTATTCAATTATTTAATTTTATTTAAGTACTTTTCATTTATTTTTTAAATTTTTTTCACATAATAAAAATACCTCAGAAGATTCATTTACTTTTGAATCAACTGTTGTTAGAGTATTAGTTTCGTTTTTGTGTTTGTGATCTTCAATAGTTGATTCCAATGCTCCAAGAACTCGAGACAACTGCTGAGAAAGCTCATTAGTAGAAGCTTCACTATCTCTATTGGTTTTAGTGAGATCATTAATTAGTAAAGATTTATTACTCAAAAGCTCATCTTGCATACTATCACCAGCTGTCTCATGAGTAGTTGCCATGTAATTAACTTGGTTTGGGCCATCCTCCTCCAAATGATGATCACAATTTTCACAAGAACATTCAGAACATGGATTTGAACCTGAAAAATAAAAAATATTATTTTCCATAATCTTAAATTATGTTAGAAGTGATGCATATTTGCATCCACAGAAAGTCCATAGTTCTATTTCTCCTGAGGAAAAACCATTAGTTCTATGTGGAAAACGGAAAAACTCGAGTTCTATGTGTTACCTGGAAAAAACACGGTTAAATGTGTTAATTAAATGTGGAAAAACTATTGGTTATATGTTTTAGCATGACTCATTTGTTGACTTAACTGCTACATAATGATCTTAAAAAAATGAGTAACAGTTAAGTTTGTATGTCTTTGGCTTGCTTAAAAAAAAAAACCAGCAAAAAAATAACATCAGATTTTAGTTTTTTTGTTAGCTATTTGTTTTTAGTACAAAAACTTTTATTACAGTGTAGGTATGAATAGTAGAAATTTGTATTTTCAATTTTCTTTTAAGTATACGATTTAATTTAGTATAATATTTTATAAAATATTTAATGCAGCATTAGAACGAACTTTATAAAATGTTTTTTACTTTTTTTAAAGACATATCACAGGATTGCACATCTTATCCTCCATAACATGGAGTAGAATATATGCAATGTAGATCACAGCAGACATGAAAGGTAAAAAAGAAAATAATATTTTCTAATATGCCTAATGTGATTTTTTCTTATTATTAAGTAAAGTTAATAGTTGCGTGAATAATAATTAAAATTTATCTATAAATATTTTAGTATGTTATTTTTAAAATGTAATTTATTTATAAACAAATTTTGTAGAATAACAATAGTAAAATAACTCGTGCTTAAATATTTTCTTAATTTTATTTAGATCCAAATACATAGGTTTCATTTGAAATATTTTAAATAATTATAAAAGTCAAATGAAATCATTTATTTGTATTTTATCAAAAAGATAAACATTTGTAAAAAAAACAAAAACAATTTTAACATAATTTAAATTTTATATACCTTGAACTTCTCTATCCGAACTAGAATTACTTTGAACATCTTCTTCTTCTTCTTCTTCAATAATTTTATTATCATTTTTGCTTTGCAACTTACGTTTTAACTCTGCAATAACACTCTGCAATTCTGTTATTCGCATAGTCTAAGTAATTAAGACCTAATTATGAATAATTTCTTCATTAACATAAACTAAACTAAAAATAAAAAAGTTTAATGAAATTACAAATAAATAATTTACCTGAGACTGAAGTTTCTCTTCATAATCATGATGGGTTTTTTTCTGCTCATTGAACCATTGTGCTTTTTCTTTGAGAAGAGAGTCACGCTCTTTACTAACTTGGTGAAACTTTTGACGTAATTGATGTATTTCATTTTTATACTGGGTTAAAGCAGCTAAATGAAGCTAAACAATAATTACAATTATATAAATAGTAAACAATAATTATATAAATAGTAAACAATAATTATAACTATATAAATAGTAAACAATAATTATAATTATATAAATAGTAAACAATAATTATAATTATATAATAGTACAACAACTACAAATAAAACTATATTAGGAAATATAAACTAAAACATTCTTTATTAGAATAACTTTTACAATTAAAAATTTCTTAAAACTAAAGCTTAAAAAACTTTTTCATGATATTAAAAAAGTTCAAACTATACTTTTTATAAATCTTTTATATATCATATACTTTTAATAACAAGTTAGCAATTTAAAAAAAAATTTTTTAGTTTTATGTTTTTTGTTTAAATTCAATTTACAAGGGGCCTAAATGCATATTAGGTCAAGTATAAGATTTAATAGAGTAAAACAATGGCTAATTGCTCTAATAAAAAGGTTCAATATCATGTATTAAGAAAGATAAAACAGATTTTGGACCATACTTTCAGTATCAAAACCAAGTTGAAATAGATAACTTTATTTTTTTATTTAACCACCTCTGTTTAGATATTAGCCTACCACTTTTTCATAAAAAACAACCACAACATGGCATAACACTATAGACAATAATGGTGAAGAGGGCTTGCTCTTCACCATTACTACCTTTAGTAATTGTACCACACCCTGGTAGTATTGCACTTAACTTATTTCTCTGTGCAGCAATCTTTTTTAAATTCTGTTTAAAGTTAAAAAATCTATACATAAATACTTATGCAGTCATATCTAAAGGAATCTTTTAATTGATTTATACTTATAACTTAAAACTGTATTTTTTATTAAATCTTAAAATTTATCAAGGTATAACTACACTAACAAATTAAAAATGTTATAAAATAATCTTAAAAAAGGACTTTATTTTGGCTCTTATTAGTTTTATTTTTTTTTGAAGTCTCAAGGGCAACCCATGTAACCCAATAAACATATTTACCTAGAATATTTTATAGTTAAATTGATTTATAAAAATTGGTTATTTTTAAGTGACTCCTAAAAACAAAATCAAAACAACAAAATGCATATGTATACATACATAATTACACAAATACATAAATATATACATACATATATGAATATATATATATATATATATATATATATATATATATATATATATATATATATATATATATATATATAT